CGGTCCTGTTCGGACTACCGTCGCTCCGGCTTTCTTCTCTTCTCCCTTCACTAGATCTGTGTTGGTTATACCACCATTCTAGTTTCTTTATATGTTAACTGTTTTACATACTGCACTTTTAATTTCTGCATATCATTTAGTAGTCCTGCTACTGCCTACTTTATATATATATATATATATATATATATATATATATATATTTTACATGTATTTTCTTTGATGTTCATTAACCGAGTGTTTTGATAGGAGATGAAATTCTTCTCCTATGTCTTATTCTAGGGGAATGTTGTTTTTAACAGTCTTGATAATGTAATCAAAACTATTTTTTTTTTTATTTAGAAACATATAATGTGTCCCGAGGGATTTTTAGAATAGTTTAGTTTGGTTAATCTCTTCGAACCGAACTTCTTCGTCAAAGAGATTGTGTTTGGTGTTATTTCAGAAAACTATTTCTCCTTATCATAAAGGAGTAAATTTTTCGTAGGAGAGGACGAGGAAGATGAACTAGAATTAAATCTGAGAGAGATACAAGAAAAGGAGTGAAAAAGATGAGACATCATAAAAATAAACCTCTAGTTCATCACCCTTATTTGATTCCTTAAAAATATACTTGTTAGATCATTTATAACTCTTTCTTCTAAATCTAGTTATTTGTAGGCTTTTTTTATTACAGAAACATAAATTTTTTTACTGTAGCCACCAACTTCTTATGTTCTTTAACTTCTTTTGAATATAGCATCGTTGAATCAGCCTTATTGTCCTTCATTCACACAGGTCTTACTGCTGCAACTCTACTCAAAAGAACTAAGAACTAATGTGCTTCTAGTAAAGATATTTCATGGAAAATAATAGAAACTATACAGTATTTTTGAACCATTAGTTCATGGCATTGTTACAGACAGAAACAATTAATAACGGCTCACCCAAAGGGTCTGTCAGTTGTCCAGCCTATAAACCATAGTTTCATATATATATATATAGGTCTAACACCTCATTTTAAGACCCATGTAACACATAAAAGCTCAGTTTAAAAATACCCCTTAAGCCTGAAGTTACAACTTTCGAGAATGAGGAAGCTGAACTTTTTTTTTTTTTAAAGGGTAAGCAAGAAAGTGGGGTTTAAGAACAATGAGATGACTCTTGACAATAGTTATGAAGATGAAAGAATAGAGTAAAGAGGAAAAAGATACATTCACACAAACAAGGAAGAAAAAATTAAGAGAAAAAAAAGGGCAGCACGATTTTGGATTGCACAAATGGCCCATGTTTCATTTAAAACATTATACGCCCAAGTGGTGAGTGTTGAGCACTTAGGAGATGAACAGCCTGAAATTAAAACTTTTTTACATCTTGCAATGAACACTCAAGCTGTGCGAAATGACACCTAGGTGCTGGACAACTTAAGACAGTTCAATTTTCTTGCGTAGTGAGTTGGACCTTCTACATGAACACTTAGGCAGTTTTTTTAGTTACTTTAAAAAGTAATAAATAAAACACTAAATAAAAAATTAACTTAAAATAAAATAAAATAAACTAAAATAAGACAAATAAAACAAAACTAAATAAACAAATAAAACAAAACCAAATAAATAAAGGATACTAAAAATTGAATTGCTTTTTCATAATCATTCTTTTAATGTCGTAAGCTTGACTTCTTACAATTCTTCATGATAATGCTAAAGTTAACCTCTGGCTATCAACCTCTCCTCCAAAATAATGCCTATGCTTAGGCTCATTTATTTTGAATTTTCTTCCAAATGTTGATTCAAGTAACTTCACAGCATTAATCGAAAAAACCTTGCTTATCATACCTCTTTAGCATCTCAATGATTTGACTGAAATACCTATTATGAATGATTTTATGCATAACAATACTGTAAAGATTCAGTAAGATGGATGGTTTTGGAAGAAAGATTCAACAGTATTTATAATATAAACTTTTCAAACAAAGTAGAGAGGAGGAATAATTGGTCAGGATCAAGATGGCAGGTGTCTGCATGCTTGGTAACAAAGTGGAAGAAATGGTTAGCCATTCGTTTTTCTGCTTCCATTTTTCTTATGAAACATAGTGCAATTACTATCAATGGCTAGGTGTTGAGACTGTACTACTGGCAACAGACTAATCATTTCATACAACATACTAAATGTATATATGGAAAAGCCGTAAAGAAGGCTTCATTTTGTGTTTACTTTACAACCATTTGGATACTATGACTACATAGAAATGACATTGTTTCCAGAAGGGGCAATCGTAGCTCAAATGCAATAATGGAATTGATTAAAATCAGATCTTCGAATTGGATTAGAGACAATTTAAAGGAGCCTTAAATTTGCTTTAAATATGTTTAAAACTTAAGCGAAAAACTTCTATGTAAGTAGATAAATTGATTACTTTTAGGTTTCTATTTTGTTAAACAACATTTTCACGATAATGATATATGGTTGGTTGCACAAGGAGCTATATCTTTAGTGTGCGTATTATTGTGTTCTTGGTCGAATACTTGTATCTTGATATATAACATGTAGTTTTAATTATTTGTTCAAATCTATTAAAAAATTATGTAAGTCTTTCATAATTCCTAATTTAATAATTTTTATATTTTTATAATTTTTAATAAATTTTAACTATTAATTAAAAGAGTATATTAAAAAAAAGTATTTTCCTAAAATTCTTCTTCGTTTTTCTTTAATAAGTAATCATGTGCAATGTTCTTGGTAATATATTAGTATCACATATTATGGATAGAAAAATCTTTTATACTTCCTTTAGTAAATTTTTTCAGCTTATAAAAAATTAATATTACGATAATATTTGATGTATTAATAATGTATGATTATATATTAATAAATTTACTTATGAATAGAATATATCATGCTATTAGATACATTTACAAATGATTATACTAATAGATTAATTTTTATTAAAAATTTATATCAATACAGATTAATTTAACATTAAACCATCAATAGATGACAGTTATTTTATATTGTAGATTCACATTTTTTACTTATTTTTGTTAAAAATAATTTTTTATTATTATATGCTAAAAATAAAATTTATATAGTAAAATATTTGTCAATAGATTTTTTTCCTTATAAAGAAAAAATAGAAGATTTTTGTGTAAATAAAATAATAACTTTAATTTTTTTAAAATTCTTAAAATATGTCAATTTTTTTTATAAGACCGCGATCAAGTTAGACGTATTTGTTTGAAAGTAGAATATAAGTGGTCCGTGAAAATGTTGATGAATAAATTATTGCAAAGTGACAAATTATAAATTGCTCTAACTTTATGTAACTTATATTTAAGAAAAAAATTAAATTAAAAAAAGAAATATTTGAAATTTTATATATATTTTTTATTTGTAAAAACATTCCAAGGAAATGGAGTCCCGAAAACAAACATTAAGCTACAACTCTGTGAGTAGATATAGAAGTGAGAAGCATAAAGTTGTAGATATTACCGCAAGTGAATGAAGGCAAAGCAGATATGGGACTTTGGGGCAATGTCTGTTTGCAGTCGATGTCTCTTTTGAACCATTGCACTGGGAGTCCCAAATGAAAACCCTCACTGCTTTTTATTTTTTTTAAAACAATTTGAGGTGTTTTGTTTAAATGTTTTATACTCTATCATTGATATTAAAAATGAACTACAAACACTATGAATTTAATTTACATACAATTTCTTTTGCACTGTGATTCAATTATAAATTATCATATAAGTAAAAATTATTATTTTTATGATAATTAATATAAAAATTATATCTATAATGTATATTAATTAGTCTACAGTATAAAAAATTTGCACTCACAGAGTCAGCGCACCAAAATTAAGCACAAACGTTATATTCGTAAACCATATCGATCTGTTTTAATAACTTTTAATCAATATGGTTTATTTTAAAAAATAATTTTTTAAGCATCGGAATTTATATTTTTCATTTATTTAAAATTTTATCTTTCAAAATTATATATATATATATATATATATATATATATAAACTATAAAGGCTAAAATTATAAGGAAATCAACTAATGTCTCAATAAAAAAACTTATAAAAAATATGTTTAAAGAATTTAAAATATAAAAGATTAAAATATGAAACCAAAATTAAACGAATAAAAATTATATGGATAAAACATTTACTTAAAACTCTTTTATCTTTATATTTATGTTATAAAAAGAAATACTAGGATAGTTTTAGACATTTTTTTTACATATATGTATTTTTTTTATCTATTTTCTCTTCAGTCAAATAACTTGAAAACTTGTCTATTTTTCATTCATTTTCTCTGCGTACTTCATTCAATCATATTTCTTTCTTTTCTACTTCAACCAAACAACGATGCATAGTATTAGAGAAAGAAAAGATTCATGTCTTTATTTTAGATATATAACTATTATATTTTTCGCACCCATTTTTTCTTACATATATTTTTATTATTTTTCTTTTTACCTCTTTTTCCTTTTTTGTTATCACATTATCTTTTACATCTTTAACTTTTTCTCGCTTTTTTTCTTTTTCTTTTTCTTCCTAGTTATCTCTTCACCCATTTTACACCTAATAATTAAGTGTGAAATGATCATTTTTCATTGAAAAGGGGTATTTGTTTGGTCTTTGAATAGAAGGGTAGCAAATATTGAGAATGACAAGGTTTTTATGAAACATGAAGAGGTTGGTTGATGTTTGATAGGGCATTTGCAAGTTGGAATAGAGACATTAAATTTAGTATTGTGTCATCAAGTTATTACAATTTCTAATGAGAACATATTCATAGGATGGTGCTTACCGAACAACAATTTCGTTGATAATATTACTGTTTTGCGGTTGGCATTATCAACAGGTGCTGTAGTAGCAGTGCACTCAAAATAGCAATTTGTGATGGAATCAAGAAGCTGCACACATACTCATCTTCTCAGATTGCTTCCAACTCATTCGAGATTGAGAGGGACGATTATTGTCATGATATTTTGCAGCATTTTGGAGTACTATTGGTGCTCTTTAGTACGATAAAATTCTGTTTTAGCAGATAAAAAAAGATACAAGGGTATTTTCTGCCTTATGCACAAGTCACAAATCTAGAATTTTACAAATATCAAACAAATTTATTTAGTCCAGTAGTCTGAATGATTCCTGGTTCTCCCAAGTCACACGATACTCTGGAATCATAAATACTAGAAATACAAAGTTACAACACTGAAGTATCTGGTCACACTTGCATGAGAATACATATCAAAAGCATCCTAGATGTCATACCTTCATTTCGAGGGGATAACAACAATAACAAAGTCTTATCCCATTAAGTGAAGTCGGCTACATACATCGTACAACACTATTGGCTTTGGTCAAAAACCAATATCATTTCACAATAGACTTGAAAGGCAGGATTTGGCCTTGTGTTCCTTGGGTAGAATTTCCCACCACTTAACAAAGGTAGGATCCTTTAAGAACATTTCCTTGGTTAGCACCAAGTCATCAGTCCACTTTTTAATATCTTCTTCAAGTTGCAGAACCCTCTCCTTGACTTCTTCAAAAGGTTTCTTGTTATTAATCGAGCTCAAAAGCTCCTCTAATTCAGCCCAGAAGGTGGATTCAGAGATATTTCTTTTAGGCACCCTCATGGCATGTTCCAACCATCTTTGAGTGTATCTATACCGTTTCGGCCTGGCCCTGATCATGTAAGGTCCAGTGTCTTCATTCTTCAAATGGCGATAATAGTTGGCAATGTCTAAAGGTTCCACAAGGCGACGAAATTCAGTTCCAAGCTTGATCCAATCTGGCTTGCCTTCAAACTCATCAGGGAGTTCATACCTCTTCAGCATCTCAATGATCTCATCCCACACCCCTGCCAATATAAGCCTCTTCACATTTGCTTGGAAGTCATTTGCCTCCTTCTGCACCTTGAAAGCATCATAATAGCCCTTGCCCCTATGTAACTCACATGTCGTCCTGTAATTTTCAAGATCCCTCATGCTTCCCACAGCTTTATCCTTAATCTCCTTAATGATTTTGTCCTCATTTCTGCGCTTTAGTTTCTCCAACTCACCAGCTGCTCTAAGGCATAGTCTTGCTCTTGTGCTCTGAAATTTCAGGCAAGAAATTATCACTTATTACCAATATCTTGGGATCTAATCCTATGCTTGAAATATAAGAACAGCTCTATTATTTGAACAACTACAAATTGACATCGTATGCGACACCATATAGAAAATTTTTATATCATGTACTTTTTAGCTTTTTTGTAAACACACACATCTCAAAAATACTACAAAAAACCAAAGGAACAACTAAACTACATTCTCCAATATAAGAACTGTGTGCGTGTGTGTGCCTAAAGAACAACAATGATTACCAGTCCAAGGCCATCCAATGCTGCGCTAGTTGTTACAATATCACTATTAGGGCCATCAGCAGACAAGGGAAGTTCCTCAAGTTTCTCCAAGTACACCACATTCTGCATTCCCAAGCTATCCTCCAATTCAGCCTCATATACTTGATGTTGCAGTATGCTATTCTTAGCAACCTCAGAAAGTTCTTGCAAATTGCTTAGCTGAGCAGTGTGGAACATGAGTTGCAAAACAGCATCCGAGTTTTTCACCACAATTAACTGTCCATTTCCGTTGCAAAAAATGTATGTTCCAAAGGGCCTATAAGGGCTTAAGTCAACAAAATATGTCACCGTCTCAAGCAACAAATTAGTGCTTCCCATGAGAACACAAGCAGCATGGCTTGTAACAGTTGCTGCATTCCTCATCACAGTTGAGTAAAATTCAGAACTCAAACTGTCTAAAATTTGGGTGGAAGATTTCAACTTGGGGTTCAAGAATTCGAGAATTGAGCTAAAAGTTTTCTCAATAGAAGAGAAGGGAGCAAGCAAAATCCGCGGCACTATGTCAAATCTCAAAACAAAGTGTATAAAATAGCTAGACCAATTTTCACGCCTTGAAGCATGAGAGAATATATGATTACCAATTAATGGGGACCCAAAAGTGACACATAGGGGAGGCTTTTGGTTTCGGGTTTTGGTTGGGTTAAGGTACTCTTCCAAGGCCCAAAACGTTGCAAGAATGGCCACTGCAGCACCAGAGGAGTGCCCGGTAAACACTACTTGTTTCCCATCTGACATAGCTTTATGCACCTACAGATTTTGACGGTTTTCAAGTCAAAATAATTAACCAAAAAGGAAAATTATCATGGTAACTGAAGAAACCACTAGAAAAGAAAAGATATGGGGGGTTCAAATTTCTACACGTGGGAACCAAATAATAACGGGATAACTGAATCAAAGGTTGTGTGTTACATACCTCGGATTTCATTGAGCTGTTATTGAGTATGTGATCGAATCTGTTTGAAAAGCCTTCGTTGACCCAAGCAGCTTCATCATTACCAACACTTCTAAGTGAAGGGAAGAGGGTAAGATCTACCTTGGTTTCTCCGAAAAGTTTGTTAACGAACCATTCAGTGGCATCCCAGGAACCAGGGAAGCTGAAAACAACATAATGGTCCAAAGAAGTGCGAATATAGGGCCTCTCCGGTGCCTTGTGAGCTTTGAAGGCCAAACCACACGTCTTCTTAATGATCTCTTCTTTCAATCCTATGCTGTCTCCAAGCGATCCTCCAGCCATGTTCTTATGCAAGACCAAGACCCTGCAGTTTTAGAAATTCTTTTGTTGCTTACTTGGTTTTCTCACTTGTTGCATCCTCTTATAGGGGGCGCATATGGGTTAGATTGTTACTAAATAAAATGACCAAGACTTTGTAGTTTCTATGCAAGTCCGAATGGATTAAATTATTAAATTGGCGATGAACAATATCCTAAGAAAATTAAGGTGAAGTTGAAGTGGTCAAGAAATATGCTTCATGGCCTGCTAACCATTACTTGTATTTACTACCAAAAATTGATTAGGTTAGCTTTATTATACGAGTTCAGACCCAAATGAAAAACTTTATTACTCAATTTAGATCAGCAACATAACAGGGATGGAGATTGGAGAACTTTTAAGCTCCGTTTAGATAATGAAATACAATAAAAAGAAAAGAAATAGAAAACAAGAGAATAAAAATTATATAATTTTTTTATAAATGTAATTAAAATATATGAATAGTATAAAAATAATAATTATACTGCCTAATTATAATCTGTCATATTATTAAGAAACGTCCATTCTTGTATTAAGTATTTTCAAAATTAAACCTTCAATACTTTTTAACTGATTACTAATATAAATGTTTTTTATATTAATAATATAAAAAATCATTTTTTTTAGACTACGATTCTTCGAATAACTTTCACAATAGTAATCTCACTTGAATTAAAAATTCACAATATAATACAAAGGACTCTCCTGAAAAAATGGAATTCATACACAATTAAAATAATTTAAATTATTAAATATTTTTAAAAAATAAAATAAATAATACTTAAATCAAATTTACAAATTTTTTGTATACCTATTTTGTATACTAATATACCTATGAAACAGGCTTTTATTACATTAAATCTGATAAAAGATTTCTACATACACACAGAGAGAACATATCAGTATCAGATTTTTTATCTTTAAAATTTACACTACTTTTAAATAATGTCTCTCACCATGTTTCCTTTATTAACTATAATAAATTTATTTTTAATATTAGTATTTTTTTTACTTTTTTTTATCTAAGATATATATATATATATATATATATATATTTAACACAATAATATACCTTTAAATTACACTTTTATTAGACATACATAATAATTTTTTATTTAAGTTTATTTATTATTTCTTAAATTGATAATTATTAGTATATACTGATTATTAGTATTTAATTAAAAAATTATACTATATGATAAAATTATTATTTTTATTAAATACACACTAATAATAAATTCTTTTAAAAAAATATGGGAGAGAATCAGAAAAAATAAAATAGAATTAGTTCCTTGGGATTTTTAGTGATATTTCGAATTAAAATTGATCTTTTTATAATATATGATAACATTAAATATTTATATTTTATTGACATAAGCTTTTATTTAAAAAATAATATAAAAACATCTAAAAAATTATACATAAATTTTGTTTGTTAGGAGTTATTTGAGAAGGAAGATTTTGGAGGGAAGAAGAGGGGAGGGTATAAATTTATATTTTAAATAAATATATTTAAAATTAATAATTTTTAAAAATAAAAGATATAAATTAATATATTATTAAATTTATTAAATAATGTATTTTTTATTATAAATAATATATAAATTATTTTAATTAAAAATTAAAAACCCTCTCCTCCCTTCTCATCCGTAAACCTCTTTCCAAACAACTTCTTTAAAAAATTATTTTCTACCTTTCATTAAAAATTATCCCTTGATCAATAACTCAAGAAGATTCTGGTTTAAAACAATTCTTTAACTCGATCTTTTAAAGTTGAAAGTGCCATTAAGAAAAGTCCACTACGTATTTAGCTCACTAAATTATAGCTACATTAGTGTTTAATCGTGAATAGGATTAACCTGCATGGAACGAACAATATCATGTGAAGAATACCTTTTATTAAACTTGTGTAAATCTCGTTCGGTTTTTAAAATTAAATGTTATTAATAAATTATATTAAAAGAAAACTATATATATATATATATTTGTATTAACAATAATGCTGAATGGAGTGAATTGATTTTATGGCCCCTCAATGATTCGGGAGGAAGGTAAGAGGAAATGGGTAGAGTACCCATAATTCTAATTCCTTTTCCTTTCTTTTCAAAACCGTGTGTGGAGGAAGGTAAGAGGAAATCGGTCGCGCCTAGTGCCAATCCTATGCCCCAAGCTATTACAGAATAAGTAGTGTATCAATTGTCTTTTTAAATTATCATATATATTTTTTAAAATTAAATGATTGTGATCTTTTGACTTCTAGCTTAATAATATTAAATTTTATATATTTATTATTTAAATTTTATAAAAAATTATAAAATTTATTTTTACACTTTTAAAACATTATTTTATATTTTAATATGATTGCATTATTTTTTTTTTCTAAATAAATCTTCACTTAATAAGGTTTGCATTTATATTAAATTTAATTTATAATAAAAAATAACTTTTGAACTAATAGAACGTTAAATATTATTTTAGATTTTTATGATTCTTTATAAATCTAATAAATTTTATAATTTTTATAATTAAAACTTTTACATTTATTTTCATAATCTTAATTCATTATAAAAATAATTTTTTGTATTAATAAATTGTTAAATGTTATTTTAGATATTTTTCATACCTTATATGTACATTGTTCGCATATGTTTCGTATAATTTCTGCAAATTTTACTTAACCCATATTTTCTTTACTTGAAAGTTACGAAGAAAAAAATGATTCCTTAAATGATTATCGCTTAAGCGGTTATTACTTTATTTAAGTTACACAAGATATTTTAATATTTGCTTAAGCAAATAAAGTCTAACTTAAGCAAATATTGGGTTAAGAAAATATTTACATCATATCATAATTTTGTTTAAGTCAAATAATTATAACTTAAATAAAATTGACTTGGCTTAAGGCAAGAATATAATAACTTATGCAAATATTGGCAAAATTTATATATTTATCATTTTATAAAATTAGTTTAAGCAAATATAGTATAACTTAAGTGAAAATTATAAATAATAATTTTCTCACTTTTTTAGCATTAAACTACATCTGTTAAGTCATTATCTCTATTCTGATTTAGTCAAGTTGTTCATTTTTAAGAGAATTGAAAAGAATATAAGATATTTACAAATTTAATTGGTTCTATTTATAAATATCATAATTCAAAATATGACAATGCAAAGAGAGTATGACTATTTAGGTTTTTAGATTTAGAAAACATTGTTGCAGTTATTTGGGAGGGAAAAATAAGGAGGAATTGAACAAATTTTCTACATTATTCCAAACAAAGATTACTTGATTCTAGTTGATCTTTTGTCTTAGATATCCTTTTCAGATTTTTATTACTTAAATTTTAGTCACTGTCGTTAAATTTATCAAACTAGTTGTTAGAAATACAAGAAATGTCTAAACTAGTTTTAGAAACAAAAATGAAAGGAAATGGGCTTGAGATAATACGATTGAGTTTTATGTTATTGAAAAAGAAAAATTAACTCAGTACTGTTATAATAATGCTTTTAAAAGATATTTGCTTTAAAAGAAAAATACCTTAATATGTTTTAAATATATAATATTTAAAAAATTTTACTGATAAGTTTATTAAAGATTAAATTACAAATATTATAACTTTTAAAACATGTTATAATAGGTCATTTTTCTAACTTACTTATAAGTCATATAATACACTAACTTACACCAATTATCCGAAAAAATTATTTGTATAGCAGTTTGAAGTTAAAATTGTTTAATAAATGAAAAATAAAAATAGCATGCAACTTTTGAAAACTATCTTAAAAAATATTTATTTATCAGGCTAATTATTAATATTTTATTATATTTGTCTTTTAAAAAAAAAAAACTTATCCTTTACACAATTAAAATCGTAGATATGAGTTTATCTCAGTGCCCTTTTTTTTTTTCGCCTTCATAATAATCTCATTGCTTTTGCTTTTCTCTATTTTTTTCATATGCTTCATTATCTTTTCTATTCAAATATATTTAATATTTAAAAATATAACTTAGAATACTTCATGTTCAAAACATATATGAAGAGAAAATTTTATTTTTATATAATTATTTAATTAATTGAATAGTAAATAATTAAAAAAAAGTGATATCTAATTTAGGAGTAGTAGTAAATAAATGTTTTTAATATTATAATAAATTTACATAATTAATTTAAGATAATTATAATTTAAACAAATGTTATATGTGTTAATATCTTTTTTTACACATAAATGACTATTGACTCCATTCTTTTTTTAAAAAATCATATACTATTAAAAAAATTCAATGTTTTTTTTAATAAATTTTTGTAATAACTTCTCTGATTTTTAGGGAAATTTTATTTTAAATGATACTTTTTTAAAAGCTTTCGTCGTCTCGTTACAATTCACAGTTATGTCTTCATGCTTTCAAGAAGTACAATTAGCTGGAAAGCAACTTTACAATATATTATTGCATTATCTATTACATAAGTAAAATATCAAAAGTATTGAGAGAAGCTATTTGGCTTAAAGTTTGGCAAAAAATTTGAATTTTTAAAAAATATAAAATAGTAATTTAATGTGATAGTCAAAGTGCCATACATTTGACCAAAAATAAATGTATCATAAAATAATCAAACATATTGACATAACGTATTATTTTAGTGCTTCAAAAAATTCAATAGATATGATGATAAAGTTGGTTTAAGTTTCTAATTTCAGACATTGTTTAGACTTAGTTGATATTCAAAATATGTAAGTTAGTCGTTATGAACGTCTATTATAAGAAGTCAAAATATAAAGAAAATTTAAGTTAAGGTAAAGATTTATTATATATAACTTTTTCCTCTATTTACTATTTAAAAATGGCCAAAGGTCTCTCCACTAATATACACTGAAAATAATTTTTTCTCGTAACTTGTTAGATTATTAAGAGTAAACATCAAAGTCTATAAATATTTCAATGTTTTTATTTGTAAAACAACTTTATTTTATGTAGTATCCCATTGTAAGCATTTCTATGAGAAGTTTGCTTCTTGTATTTTTTTCTATTTATTTGAGAGAGTTTGAGTGTAGACACCAATAAAAAATATATTCAAATATATTTAATTATATTTAAACTTTGGAATCTGAGTGAAGTCTGTAGATTTGTGTTTTTCGTATTATTTCTTTATTTAATATAGGTTTAAATAAGTAAATAGTTCCTAAAAATATACCTTTTCTTATAAATTTTTTTTGTTAAATTTAGTTCTGCAATTTGTTGTAAATAATTCTTATGATAAAATGAGAGTCATGATTAAGCAAACTGTGTTTCACTTTATACTTGTCACGTAGCGATGTCAACTTTACATGTAATACTTAAATAAGTAATTAGTTCCTAAAAAATATAGTTTTTGAAACTAGTCTTTATTATTTTTATTTTTGTTTTAATTTTGTAAAATTTTAAATAAGATAATTTTTTATCATTACATTTAACACTAAAACATTTTACTATTTATAATCAATCAACATCGTTTCAAAGTTTTCTAATTCTTTTGTTTTTATTGTTATAAAAAAAGAGTTTATATTTCTATTGTTCAAGGTAAAATTGAGCATGAATAAAGTAAGTCCTCTTACATTATACTTAATGAAGCTATGTTATTTCAGTAGATGAAAAATAGAAATATGGCTATGAAAGAACACAATAAAGAAAGTCTTTCTACTTTACACAATATAACATTTTCTAACCATATTAAATATTTTCTCCAAAAAATAATATTTTAACCTTAAATAATACTAACTCATTAAATATTTCTAAAAGAAAGTAAGATATAAGATGTTATATAAATCAAGAATATTAATTCAAAAGATAACAATATAATGTATTTTTGAATAATAAAAATTTTACAAAACTAAAATTAAAATAAAAATTTAGTAAAAATTAATTTCAAAAATATATTTTTTAAAAAGTAATTACTTATCGTAACGATTCTAAAATAAGTGTAAGAATTGTTTAAAAAAATTATAAAACTAAATCTAAAAACAATTATATGTTGTATATTAGTCATATTAAATATTATTACCTCATATTCTAAATACAAGATCCTTTTAAAGAATTTATTATCATTCTTTTTATAAGATTTGTCATAAGTTTTTTTTTTTGTATTACTTATTTTTGTTACAAAGAAGAATAGTAATTAACAATGTGTTTGATTATGGTAATATAATACCTATTCTTATGTCCACATTTAAAAAAAAAATTACTCATACTTATCTTTATAGTAACAACTTTAATTTTCATTTTTATATCCTTAGATATCTATATCCCATACTTATACTAGTTATTTGTTAGAAAAATCATCAAAGAAAGAATTTTAAATTATTAATAAATTTAAAATGTAGGTAGATTTGTATAATAAAAAAAGAATTTAATGAGTAACAACCAGATTCATGAAAAATGAACATAATTTATTCGTGTATATTTGTATCCATCATCGATTATTCAAGGACAGAGAACAAACAGAAAACCAACATCTTTATTACAAAACCAAACCAAAGAAGCATAAAAAAAGTGAAAAATGAAAAATGAAAAAGCTCATTCAAAACAAGGGACTCACAAAAGTAGATCTCGAATGAATGTATGTCTCTGAGTCACTCTTTAATAAGATTTCTAATGCACGATTCTCGCTTGTGTTGTGGAGGAAGAGTTTTCAACCACTTAACCAAAGTAGAACCCTCCAACAAGGCATCCTTAGCAAGTTCACCATCTTCACTCCATGTTTCAATCTGACCCTCTAGTTTCACAACTCTTTCCTTAACCTCTTCAAAAGACTTGTTGTTGTTACTCATCATGAAGCGAAGATCCTCCACCTCAGCCCAAAAGCAAGATGCCGAGTTAGGCTCTTGTGGCCTTAGTTGGGCATGTTCTAACCATCTTTGAGTGTACCTATATCGTTTTGGCCTTCCCTTAACCATGTAAGAAGAAGACTCATTCTCGTAATGCCTTAAATGGCGATAATAATTAGCAATATCTAGAGGCTCCACTAGTTGCCGAAACCTTGTTCCAAGATCAAACCATTCTCTATTGCCTTCAAATTCATGTGAGAGTTCATAACTTCTTAGTTTTTCAATTATCTCATCCCACACACCAGCCAGCTCTAGCCTCATCACATTTGCTTTGAAGTCCTCAGTTTTCTTATGCTCCCTGAAGCCATCGTAGTAACCCACTTTTAGATGTTCCCACATTTCTCTGTATTTTTCAAGGTCCTTCAGTTTTTCCTCAACAAAATTTTTCTTCTGCTTGATTTTATCCTCATTGTCCAATCTCCTTACCTCTAATTCTGCTGCTGCCCAAAGGCACAGTCCTGCTTTTGGGCTCTAGATTTCCAAACAAAGGAATCATCACATATATCTTCTGTAAATTCTCACAGTTAGATCCACCACAAAAAAATGTTATCTTTAGACTTATCTCTTAGTATAAATTTTGTGGACCAAAAATTATATTAATATACACACCTAATGACATAATGCACCCATATTATACATCAATTATTTACCAACATAATTGTCCATTGATATAAAAAAAAATGTATGTCGTAACCGTAAATCCACAATATCTATGCTAATATTATAAGCGTAAATACACATATTAGTCCTTAAAATTGATATCTTTTTAATTCTTGAAGAAAATGTCCAAATATATAAGTTGACAAATTACATGACTATATTGCACAAAATAAATTAAAAAAAAAAAAACAGAATGTCACCTTTCAAAGATCAAATTGTATATTTACTCAATATATAATTTTCATAAATTATATTAACGACCTATATTAATTAATTTCCTACAATTGCTCAAGTCTAACCAATACATAATCATATTATACCAATAATATAACGAAGAAGAAATGTAGTAACTTACCAGGTCAAGGTCATTTAAGGCACGTGGAGCATCATCAGACGAAAGAAGCTTCTTGAGTTTATCATCCAAGTGCACAACATTATGCGAGGTCTGTTGCAGTTCGGTGCCATAAATCGAATGTTCCCTTAGGCTTCTATAGGGAACTTGAGCAGCTTCTGCTTCAGAGCTTAATTGAGCAGAGAAAAACAGAAGCTGAAGAACTGCATCTGGGTTTTTTATTACAATTTGCTTCCCTAACTTTCCATTTCCTGTGCAGAAAACGTAAGTCCCAAAGGGTCTATAAGGACTTAAAGGAATAAAATTTGCAAAAGTTTCCAATGTGGTATCTGTGCTTCCCATTAATTTACAAGCGGCATGGCTTGTGACAGTTGCAACATTTGACATTATGGCAAAGTGGAAATCTGAAGCTGATGTGGCTCTTCCAATTGATTCACTCATGAAAGATTTGGATTTGGGATTGAAGGATTGTGAAACAGGTTCAAATCTTTGGTCAAGGGAAGAGAGAGGAGAAAGGAGGATTCGTGGGACTATGTCATATCTCATCACATAATGCAAGAAGTAGTGAGACCAATTTTCTCTCCTTGTGGCATGTGAAAATATGTGATTGCCAACTAAGGGAGAACCAAAAGTTATGCAAATGGGAGGGATACCCCTGCGTGATTTTAGACGTTGGTACTTTTCCAAGACCCAAAGGGTTGCTAGAATGGCAATTGGAGCACCAGAGGAGTGTCCTGCAAACACTATTTGCTCCTGTTTAGTCATTGCTTTCTCTACCTGCATATTCATCCCAATATTGATATCAATGACTTTTCATGGAAAGTGTCAAGAGAATAACCAATCATTTGGTGCAGGACTAGACAGACATCAAGTTAAGAGAGAAATATTGTTTCAAAACCAACTTTGGTTTATAGACATCCAATACTGTCAACACCCGCTTCACACTTCTCATTTCTCCCTCTTTCTTTCCCCCTCGTGGCATCACTTGTTATATTTATAACTCCTTTTTCTTCTGTTCTTTTATATAAAAAACATGTATTTACAAAAAAAAATTATTTTTTATTTTTATCTGTCCACTTTTAAAAGAAAAGTTTGTTTCTATTTATCTTGTTAAAAGCTCAATTAAATATTAAACTTTAATACTTATACCTTTTAATAACGTTTTACAAATACAAGATTGTCAATTCACCCGTTGAATTATTTTATATTATATATATATATATATATATATATATATTAAATTTTATTTTATTTAAATATTTGTAAGAATATTATCTAACATTTGATATTTATTATGTTTTAAAAATATAATATTATTAAAATAAAGTAATATGATAAATTATTTATTAATTTTATTTTTTAATAAAAGTTTATAAAATTAATCTACGATATAAAAACTTTTGAATCATCGAATAGATTGGTAATTTCACAGGTTAATTTCATCCAACTCTTTTTTATTATTATTATATTCTTACTTTTACTTAACTCTAAAATACTTTACACAATCATCATACAAAAGGAAGACAATTATAAAGGCTATATTAAAAAGTTAATCATGATTTTGACGTAGAGAAGGATATGAATTACATTCATTCGTCAGCGTGTTATCAAAACAAAAGGAGTATCCTATGTTCCACAAAATTGTTTCACCCCATCTAACATTTTCTTTCCTTTAATAAAGGGGCGGTTAACAGATCTGTATCAGTTAATTACCTGACAAATCTAGATGATTTTTGACAATGGAAAATAGTAAATGATGAGAAGGTTGTTAATATTTATAAAAGGAAAGGAAAAGCAAAAAGTGATGTTTGATGTAACTAAATGTAAAGGGGAAGAGAGTTGTTGTCACTTAATAATACCTTATCTGCAAGTGTTGATTTGGCCAAAATGTCTTCAAATCTTTTAAGAAAGGCTTTATTCACAAGAGCAGCCTCATCATTACCAATGCTTTTGATAGAGGGAAATAGGCCAAGATTTATTTTGGTTTCCCCAAAGTTCCTTTGAGAATACCAATCCTTAACGGCACCTGATGCTGGAAAGCTGATGATAACTTCTGGAGGGTTGAATCTGCTGAAATCTTCATGATTGAAAGGCTTCTCTGGTGACTTGTGGGCCTTAAAAGCCTCACCAAAAGCCCTCTGAATCCTCTCTCCTTTCATTTCTATGCTCTCACCACTTCCTGATCTTGTAGCCATGGGTAGCTCTTGCTTCTCTCTTCTCTACTTGCTTCTCAGCTTCTTGCTTGGTGGGTCTCTTTATATCAAAGGTTTGACTTTGATCAGTGTACAGTTGGTGAATCTAGATGCTTGTTCTTGATCAGATCAGGACCACCGTTGGATTCACTAATCCGTGTGGAATATGTGTTATAGTTTTTGAAACCCAAAATGAATAAGAAGATTTTATTTTTTTTATGGTCAACCCAAAAAGTATATGTAAATAGATGCTACAGTGTTGCAATGTCAATTATTTGTTGCCTGCAATGCAAGGTCGTCACACTTGCCTGGAAACTGATATTTGCATACTTTCTGTAAGGTCAGGGCCCAGGAACTAGTTTTATTTGTACTGGAGAAATTAATGGGTAATGAACCAAGGTGTTCTTGAGGGGTGTATTTTTTTGAGGAACGGCATGAAGATAATATTTTCTTACTTTTTTATTATTAAAATTTATTAAAATCAATAAAATTATCATTAAGAAATTATATCAGAATGTGTGTTTTTAACAATTTTTTATTCTTTTTTGACACATTTTCTTATTGGATGAATGCTATATGGAACTCGTAAAAATCTTGAACTTTTCTGTTTTAGGACCCATAAAAATTTACCTGATAAAACAAAGTATATTAGACAGAGGGTGTCAAAATTTGTTTTTCTACCGGTTTCTCATTCCATTGTTGCGTTTGTCGGATGTAAATTTTGGAATTTTATTTTGGGAAGAAAGTCCAACAATACAAAGTTGAGTTCACATTAGTAAGGGATAATTTCTTGCTGGAACGTTAGTGTTAACTTCATTGTTGTTGGATATAGAAATGCTCCCATTTATAATATAACAAAACCTTTAACAAACTTATTATTTGAACACCAGCATACCATGGTAGAACAATCAAGTAACTCATGGGTAATGTTCCTGGCTTTATTCCTTAAGTAGTAATAATATCTGACTTGATTCTTGAGTGGACATGCTAATCCTTCGGATGCTTATAGCTTTTGGATATAAATTTGAGTGAATGAAGGGTTATAAATTTCAAGTGTCACACATGAATACTTCACATACAAATACTATTATTTTGTTTTTCACTTGATATCCGATTATATTAAAAAAAAATGGAGCATCTACAACTAGTCTAGTTAATGGAAGCTTGTTACATCTACAGGATAATCATATCTCAATCAAGATGGGATTAAGGAACAAATTAGAGTGAGGCGCAAGTATGTACTGTGAATAAGGGTGATTTGGAAGATAGTGTTCAAACATTAATGTTCGGAGACTAGAGACATATTTTACAGTTTGTACTGGGCAAAGCAAAGTCTACCCATTGGCGGTGAAGTTGTGACGGGGGTGAATCAGCTTTAATGGCAACACATTTGCCACGAATTTTTAGGAGTTCTTCCACCCGAAGAATGTATAAAAGGAGAATCAATCAATATTCTTTTTGGTTACGAAACACTTTTCAAATGCTGCCCCAAGCCCAACGGATGAAATGCAGAGTCAAATAAACATTTGTTTATTTTGCTATGCTTACGTGAGACTTTGATTAATACCGGGAACGAAAGGAAAAGGAAGAGATGAGTTGCTGGAGCCAAGTTTTAGGTCGTGGTTCATTTAAATTCATTTCGGTCCTCTCAATTAACACAACAATTATCTCTGTGATATGCCAGCTTTATATAATTAAAATGCTAGAAACAAGGATTAATATAAAAGGTAAAAAAGCATATCTTAAGTAAAGTTCGCTACTCCAAATGTCCATAGTAATTTTAGTTTCAATTGAACCAAGTCACCATTGTAGTAAGGTATAATCATGTAGTTATGTCATATGTACTCCTTGGAAATTCGTTGAAGTTAAAGATTTTATAAACCACCAAATCTATGATCAATGAGGAAACACCAGAGAAAATTTTGCATGAACCAAATTGATACAAATTCAACACCCAGATTCAGAAATCAGCTTCTGATTGACTGGAAGAAGAAGCTACTGACATATTTGACAGAAAATACAAATCAAAGTTAGGGAATCTGAGTGGTGTCCTCTTTGACGGTGACAAAGGTGGTGTTGATACAGCCTCTACTCCTATATTCTTCTTCTCTAGCTTCCTTTTCAATTCTATGCAAGCATGATCTACCATGTGAACAAAATTTTTTACAATAACAAACAGTTGAAAGGGATTTGACAAATTGTCTTTGGACGCTCCAGCTAGATAGTACTCGTTCGTTTTCTTCACAAGCTCCATGATCCTTGTCTGCTCCTCTTTGACCACCTTAAGCTCATCTTCACATTCCTCTAGAAACCCTTTCATTTCATTGATAAATCCACCTCTCTTAGTGTTGCCACAACATGTTATAATCTGTCGAATTTCATTAACATGAGCATTGAGAGTGGAACACATAGTGATCAAATTGTGATACTCAATACTAGCTGCTTTCTTTGCTTCAGATAACTCATCACTTAACCCACCCAACACTTTCAAACCATACATTACATATTCTTTCTCTGCTTCTTGTGATATCATGCTATGTGAATAAAAATAAGGTCTATTCTCATTGCTTGTTTCACCATTGCTTATGCGAAGGTTGTGCTTTTGATAAATAGCTTGTCGCTTTCCTTCAGACTGAACCACTTGTTCCACTATAAAGTGAAGCAAACTGGTCTTCCCATCTGTGCTTTTTACATCAGAAAGCTTTCCAAGAGCACTTAGATTGAAACCTTGTGCATTGCCTCTTGAAGTTCCAGCATTCATCCGGTTCCCAGCTTTGAGAATGGCCTCAAGGAGTTTCAAAAATAGACCACTAGTTCTCAGCTCCTTACAACCCATTTCAAGTGTTTGAAGGTGTTCCTTAAGCTGAAGAACTTCACAATCATAACTTGATCTGAAAAGCATTGCTTTCAAGCGGTTGAATGCTGTTGGAACTTCTTTGAGGATGTAGTATAGGAAAGACTCAGCATCAGCAAGCTTATCTGGGTTGCCACTGAATTGGATGATTTTGGCTTCTTCTTCTTTGGTGGGAGCTATTTTAGTGAGTCTTTCAAGTGTCTCAACACTTAGTCCCTGGCCATCAAGTAGTGCATCCAATATTCCCTTGCGAGAAATGGCAAGTGATCTTAACACAATTGCAGTGTTTTGAGATTTTCTTGGCTCAAGAATGAATATTTGAGCTGGTGTATTGGAATTGGACTTGGCCAGAGTGGAAAGACTTCTGTTTCTTTCGTGGGTTTTGTAGCTGGTTGAGTATCCAAAGAGTGTTTCCATTAGTTCATCATCAAACCTGTAGAAAGGGAAAAGAACTTGAAAATTGTGAAGTTGACAATGCAATGATGTAAAAACAGCTACTATTCAAATTAACATATACCGAAAAGACCCATCATTGATCTGATCCCACACGGTTGAATGATCAACATTTGCTACAACCTTATCCCAGTGCAGAGGCTTCAGCCTTGTTTGGCCAACTACTTTCTCTCTTGAGCTCTCACCTACTATAGCCTCTTTGGTGTTTTTTATGCTTGCTTTCCCTTTAGGAGCAGGTGGGGGTTTCAGTGATGAAATGAAGCCACTAGCTTTTGGAAGTGGAGGAGGACCAGGAGGTGGTGTTACTGCTGCACCTTCTCTACACTTGGTGGTAGAAGATGGCAAAGGTGGTGCCTTTGGAATTTCATTTCCTAAAGGAGCTGCTGCTGCTGGTGGTGGTGGTAGAGGAGGAGGTGGTGGTAGTGATGGTGGTGGTGGTGGTGGTGGAGGAGGAGGAGGAGGAGGAGGAGGAGGAGGTGGTGGTAGTGGTGGTTGAGTTTTCTTATTCTCTAGAATCATTGGTGAAGATTGTAGTGTTGGTAAAAGTGGAGGTGCTAGCTGAGGTGATTGTGGCAAGTGTTGCCTTGTTGCTAATGATGATGAAACTGAAGATGGTAGAGTTGATATTTGTGATAGTGGTTTCACTAGATTTTCATGGCCAATCCAGCTTGGAGATTCACGTACAAGAGGAATCTGAGGCTTGGATGGTCTGGATCTTTGGACCATTATATCTATTCTCTTTTCTTCTTCATCTTCTTCAAAACTAGGATTGATTATACTATTTGGGAATACGGTTATCAATTGCCTGCTTTCTGTTTCCATCATATAAAGAATATCAACCCCATTTTCTTCAACAATTAGTCCCTTCACATTACCACCAACTTTCTTTATATACTCATGATTCACTCCTGATTCTCGAAGAATTGCAGCAACTTTGTGTCTCTGGTGGTATCGAGCAAGAACAAATTTGTGAAAGAAGTAAACAAAAACCATAGCAATAAGTAGCATAACACCAGCTGTAGCAACCACAGCCTTTGCAATTGCATGACTTGGGGCTGACATTGATATATTTTGAGATGGGAATGTGAAGATTCAAGTGTTTGTTGGAGATATATCAGCAAAATATGAGTGATCTAGTTGAAGGAGAACAAGAATTGAAGAAAATTAGAGCAGTAATATGACAAGAAGAATAAATAAAAGCACAAAATTTAACTACTATTATTCTTGTCTATCAATTAAAATTGGAGTTTTATTTTAGTAAAAAATTACATTTAATGTCATGACAAATTACTAAGATAAATTTGTAATTTTGATTAGTAAAAAACACATAACAAACTGCATCTAAATTTGGCTTAAATAAAATTTACTCTCAAAATAACACTCTTGTAGTATGTTTTAAATGTGTCTGGCAACGGTTGTTGATAATTTCAATAAGGTAGTTGTCATTGGTGCCATGTCAGTATGAGCTTAAATTGGCCTTAAAATTGACAATTCCGAATTGATGACCGTTGAAATCATAGATAGGTCGGCCAAATTATGGATGGTGAGCATAGATTAAAAATTCAGACCAAACTAGCCAGTTTAACTGAAAAATCAGTCTAGTGGTTGGTTTGTGCAACTCATAAATTTACAGGAGCCAAGAATCCATAAATTTTAAAAAAAAAGGCATAGTCTTCGGTTAGCTTTTGTCTGTCATATGTTTAAATCTCTCACTCAATGCTTAATATGAGACTTTGAAGCACAAGTATACTCGATGTAGGATAGTTGTTATTCAGTCTTTTATTATTCTTTTTTGTTTTACAAGATATATAATAAAGTATTGATCAATGTATTATATGATATTAAACTGTATTTAATTATTACTGATTTAATCATAATTTAATAATGGTTAAATAAACAAATAAAGAATTTATCTTTATATCAGGTCAATAATGGGTTCAATGTAAAATAAAAACTGGTGGCGAGCGAAATCGCTTCCTCTGGCGATGGTGGATGTAATGGTTGAGCCATTCCACCTCGAAATTTATTGCAATTGTTAATTAGGCACAAAATTGACGTTTATGTTGGATTTAATAATAATGCTAAAATCGATGGCAATGTTTTTTTGTCTTGTATGCCGTCTCTGAACATGGTTGCTTGTGACTTGTGAGGCTACAATCTTGCTCCAGCTGTTGTATTAGAATGGAAGGCTGCTCATTTATCGTGCAACTGATGGTTCGTTGTGATCACTGAAAATGGTTTCGAAATGCACTTCCTTGTTTAAAGGGTATTGTCCTATTTTCTTTAGGTACATGCAACGTAATTTTGGTGTCATTTTATCCCCCCAAATTAAAGGAATGTGGAGAAAAAAAAAATACTTTTAAAAAAAATTGTATAAATTTTGTTACAACTTAAAAAAAGTGAAATGAGTGATATGATAGAGAGAAATAAAAAAATTTATTGATATAAAAATATTATAACCCTATTAGATGGTGAACTATATTTATAATTATCGATTTAAAAATTAATAGTTGAAATTATATATATATATATATATATATATATATATATAAAATTTCTCTGACAAATAAGAATTAAAACTCTTGGTCTTGTGTCTAGGGGAAAGTGGAAACTTTGTTATCAATAGAAAAATTTTGGGGCTTGATTACAACAAAATTACAATCAACTTAGGACGGCAAGACAAAAAGCAATGCATTGGAATTACCCCATTGTTGAAGACAACAGAATATTCCTGGATTATAATCTTCATTGTTGCTCCATTCCTGGAGATGATTGTGGAGAAAATAGCTTGACCTTGTTCACTCGAGCTGGCATCTTTTGTTGTTTTTGGTTTATTCAGATACCTTCGAAAGTTTCAACAGAAATGGGATTTGTGATGAAAAACTGTTGTTGGTTCAATTAAGAATTTTGTATAGAAAATGAAGTAACCTTAGTTGTAACTGTCTTTGTCACCAAAAGAAAATGATTAAGATTACAATATTCATATATTTATGCAGTAGTTTTACTTTCCCTTTCCTTCATTGTTCTTTGTATCTCTCTCTTTTTTATTGTATCAAATCTTTCATTTTTCTCAATTCTCTTCCTATCTCTTACAAGTGTATACCCCCCTTCCCCAAAATAAGTGTATAATATCAATTTTCAACGCTAAACCACCCTATTAACTCCTGTGCATTACTATCTTATAAAAAGGTTTCATCCATCAAATTAAAATAGAGCACAGTATAACATTTGTTAATATCTTACACTTTTGATTTATAACAGAACCCATGCTTGTGTTGACTTTCACTTATGCAATGCATACATTGTTTTTATGCACACCTTTTTCTAGTATTTCTTAATTATTAATATAATCAATTAAAACCTCCTATCACCGCATAATACACGCTAGATGTCAGTCAGTTACCCGTCCATGACGTGCAAGTATGATATGTACAAGTACAACTCTTCTTTGTTGCATGCTTTTTGCTGCTCACATGAGGGGTAAAAGCCTTGTCGGATGATTTATCAGTGCTCAATTCTCTTGCATCAAAACGCTTCCATATCCTAAGGAGAATTCGGAAAGTAATAAGCCAAATCATGTGCTGTGCAGTAATACTTCAAACCCATAGATAGTGTTTCTTATTCATATGACAGAGTTGGAAGCAAAATTGCATTGAAAATTGGAATGCTTGGTTAGGCAGAGGCATATAGGCTTAGTTGCATCCCATTCAGTCAATGCCTTTACCCCAACCTAGGCAAATATATCACTAAACTTAGAAATGCTAGTTAGGAATGATGATCGATGATCAAAGTTACTTAAAATAAAGATACCTTAAAGCAAAACCCATTACAAATAATTTGGAACCTAAAACCCCCAAGGCAACAACAATATCTAGGCAGTTCCAAAAGTGCATAAAACAAACAAATCATGTATTAAAAAATAAGATAAAATAAAAATGATTAAACACTAAGTCGAGGGTCCAAAATTTTCACAGAATTCAAAATGCTAGTGAACATAAACAGACAAAGGGTAGCCATAAATTTGAAATAAATCAAGGATCTCATTAATTTTTAATGAACTTCTGTACAACAAAATCAGCAAAAAAAGTTGTAAGCGGCCAAAAAGGTGATTCTGACATCCTCTTCCACATGCCTAATCCTAATATTCATTGTCAGCAATCTATAGTATAAAGCGCAAACTACATCAGAGGCTTTAGGATATGAACAATGGTTTAGCCAAAATAGAGGAGACAAAAAAAAAGAAAGCATTGCTCAATCTATGCTCAATCTTGATTTCTTGGAGTACAAAACAGTTGGTGAGGATAGATCACAAGGATGAGAAACTGATGAGAATGCAGTTGACCTAGACAGAACGCAATCGTCGGATCGGCTTCTTTTTTGAGATTTTTGTACTCCATTCTTCCCTTCACCTCTCATGATAAAATCTGTTAAGCGTTTAACATCTGATAACTTGACAGGCTTCAACAGAAACTCCTCTGCTCCCTCCTCCAAGCAACTGCCAATCAGTAAAAGTTTATAATGAATAAAAGGGTCTACAAATCAAAAGAATTATCAAATCTGCAAGCTAAAGAATATGGTATGGTGTAGGACTTTGTTAAAATGTTAACATTATGAAACTAATCTGTTTGCTAACAAATTCATGTATAAATGCAAGCATGGTATCTGGTATTGATAAGATGTCCAATAATGTGGCAATTAAGACAATAATAGCTGTCATGCCAACAAGATCGTTGTACAACTAGTTGACCATTAGACAAGTGGGAATATGGATTTCATCATGCTTCAGTCATTGATTGTAGCCACAAATGCAGGATATGAACAGCTTGTTCCCACAATGTTCCATGTGACTAACATCATGATATTATTGACGGATTAATTCTGTCTATCAATATTATATGATTTTGCTTATTTCTGGCAAAATCAACCACATCAAAGTGTTCATGTTACTGACATGGTAATTTAGGAAGGATTTTGGCCAAGTGTTGGAATAGAAGGGACTAATAATTCTGAAAATTTTGCTCCAAATTTAATTTGGTGACTAATGGACATATTGTTTGATCGTTAGTAGGCTGATGAATCAAAACAAAAACTCAAAGCAGACATGGTAGTTCCTTTAAAATTTTCAACACTCAAGAGTCTTGAATTTTTAATGTCAATTCATCCATTGTTAGCTGTTTAGTGCTGCTATTATCTCCACTGCAACAGCACCAACCTAGACGATCTCTTGGGAATTATGACACTCTTATCTGCCAAATTTCATTTCAGTATTCTCATCCCCCAGAAGGGCTATTTTCTGATTCGTAGGCAGATTATCTACAAAGGAGTTGGATATTTGCTAGAACCATCGTAGATTAGAAAACACGAGGGATCTAATCATATTCAAATAACATGTCTTTCACAAGTGCAATTCAAGTTCAGATGGGACTCATTCAAGTCCAAAAATCCACGGAGTGCAGATGCAGTGTGGTGATAGTACTCAATTTTCTGATATTTGAGTTAATCAAAGCAAAGATAAATCAACAAACAAAACTAGTATATACTACCCATGAATCATGAAATTTTGTTCAAGCATTCAGCCAAAAAACAAAGGTTTCCTAAAATTACGGCTGAAAAAACAGCATATTTATTTAAACAACATCTCACCTATCAATTCGGGTCAAGATATTCTCAGACGACATAACCACCACGGGAATCTCTCTAAAAACAGATGACTCCTGCTGAGATCAACAAAAAGAATTAAACATGTCAAGAAGAGAAAGTGAAAAACCACTACTACTATTAAATCAGGAAATTTGAGTTTCACATAATGAACCAAACATTAACAATTCTCTCTTCTATTCATCTTCTAAAAAGAAATTAAAATAAACAGATACACACACAGAGAGAGAGAAAAAGCATCATAAATTTCTCACCTTTATCTTCTTGAGTAGTTCGTATCCTGTCATCCCCGGCATGGAATAATCTGTCATTATCAAATTAACCTTCACACCCTGTGACCAGTCATCAAACAACAACATAAGCATCACTTCCAAAAATAAGTAACCATTATCGTTTCCACAATTCAAAAGCCAAACTTTCTTACATCAAAACCAAGGGCGCTCTTGTCCCCATCCAATCCCAGATACTGTAGAGCTCTGGTTCCACTCTCTACCACCGTCACTGCCAACACCCAGTTCCCAAATAAGCCTCAAAATCCAATTCAAGTGCAAGAGAAGACAAAAAGAGGCACGTGAATTTGCTATTTCAATAGTTTACCTTTGCAAGATGAGATTTTTAGCAAGCGTTCAATAACCTTGCGGTCCACGTGGCTATCATCAACTGCAAGCACGTGCAGCTTTCCGGCACCCACTTCCGGCAAACTGTGCCTGAAAACATCGCCGGCGGCAGCCATCCGTTGACAGAATAATAATGGATCGGTTAAGAATGAAGATGATGAAGCAGCAATAAAAGAGATAAGGTAAGGAATGAAGAAGTAGATGAATGGTATAAATAAAAATTGGAAGAAAGAGATGCTAAGTTGCTTTTGCTTTTATAACGAATGAATGGTGATGGTAAGGGGTAATGGGAAAAGGGTGAATAATAATAAAGTGAAAGGGAAGAGATTCGGAGGATCCAAATGTGAGAGATCTTGTTTGTTGTTTTTGGCAATGAAGCAGGGAGGATTATCCCACCTGCACTTGTCGCTTCTCATGTCAAAATCATACTTTTATTATTAATAGTAACGTTGTTTGTGGTCAGACACGACCAAACGTATCTTGTTTGGGTCCACCTTCGCTATGCGCTTCAGAAAAGCCACCTTTGACTTTCACACAGTCTCCATTTTGAATTGAACACCCTTTTACTTCTTCAAGGAACTTGCACCTCTTCCATACCCAAACAACGCGGTTCCATTTTTTTTTCTTTTTTCTTTACTATTTGCCTTTTCACCATTTGTATTTTTTCAATGTACGGTAATACCAATACTTACTTAATTTTATGGGTAAATATTTATTTTAATTTTTAAATTGTAACTATCGATTATTTTAATTTGTAATTTAAAAACAATTAATTCCATTTTTTAAATTATTCATTTTGTTTAATTTTTTGTTGTTATTCTGTATAAAGTAAATATAATTTTATAAACTTAAGAATTAAAATCAGACTCTTACAAATTTTTAAAATAAAGTAATTGATGTTTATAATTTAAAGTATTAAAGTGGCTATTTACTCTAATTTTATAAACTACATTTATAATTAAATCAAATTTTAATAGTTTGTGTTTAGGGATGAAACTTGCACGTATTAAGATATTATACAATCCATTTCGATATTCTCATTTAAGAAATATTCTAATATTTTTTAATTATTTTCTTAATAATTATTTAGTTATGTTCTAAATTAATATTAAATGAAAAATATATGCATGTATTATCTTGAAAATCTAAAAGAATTAATATTTTTATTTAGTAATTAAAAATTGGAAAACAATTCTTACTATTTCCACCTACAAATTCTCCTACTCACAAATGTCTTTAGAAAATATTAATTAACTTCTACGTGAGTAAGTAACATAACTTTTAAGTTGAAATGGTAAGAAGATTTCTTTTTACAAAAATAGGAATTTTTATTTAAGAAAATACTAACTTTATCTCCAAAAATAGGATTTTTTTTTATTTTAAAAATATTCATTACATTAAAAATATAAAATTAGAATACATGTTATTTTTTAATAAAAAATTATTACTTTTAAATGTTTATTCTTAGCTCTAGAGTTCAAATTTTCGAAAATAATATATGTTTAAAGACACATAATAAAAAATTACAAATATTTTTAACCTAGAAGTATCAGAGATAATATTATAATACACTAAATCTTATAATTTTTAATAAAAATTATTATACAAGTTTTAATTATGTACTTTTAGATGTTTTAAAAAAATAGTTAAAATTATTCTTGAAAGTATTACTTGTATTGAAATAGGTGTATTCATGGGTAGAGATCTGAATCTTCTTCTATTACAGAGGGAATAGGAAGATGGGGACGACGGAGATGAGTCACCTGAGCAGCGTTGATGGCAGGTGTAGCAGAAGCAGAGTACAAGCGATTCAACACTCAAAACATAAACAAGAAAACATGATATGATATCAAAGTGCACATGATTATGTTTCAGACTACATTGTACAGAGGTAGGTGGTGGGTCCTCACTTCGTATAGTGTGTTTTATACGAATACGATACGCATCCTTCATTCACTGCTGCCATAGGATTCGCTCCTTTTCCATTACGCTCCCTCAGATCCATCATCCGTTTAGTTTTCTGAGCTTATTTAATATATTATTAATATCCAAAATTAGAAATTAGATAATTATATATTTTTTTCTCTCTCTCTTATATGTGTACGATGATCTTTATATATTGATGAAACAGTTTGTGTCAGCAACTAGTTGGATTGATTTAATTGTAAATAAGACATACAAAACAGGCAAAAGGTGGCAAAATAAATGACATGCATTTTTCACTAACTTCTTTCAAAAGAAAGTTATTAGATTATATAATTATGAAAGACATAATATCCAATTTGAAAGGAAAAAGAGGCAAAAGAATAATTTTCCCACTACTCTAAAGATAAAAGTTGCAAAGAATCTGAAGTTTATGTTTTCTAGAAAAGAGAGTCAAACGAATATCTACCCCTCCTAAGTGGATATCGACGAGGGGATCTCCACAGTGACAACAGATCTCTCGACTGGGTATGGCAAAGAATCTTTCCAATGATATTACGATTCTGATTTTTTTTAGTTTATTTTAATTATGTATTTAAATGTCTCTAATTTATTAGGCTAATTCTAATCAATTAAGCCATGTCTTGCCAGCAAATATTCAAAAATAGAATTAAAATAATTAATTAAGTGCATTAGAGTAATTGATCAAGTCAATCTTGTAATATAATTTTAAAACCACCTAAATTCCAATTAATTAAGTTCATAGCATTTTGCTTAGATTTGGTTTCTACATGTATTTCTTAAATTCTTTAACTTGGATCATTCATCATTGATTAACATTTTCATTTGCTTTCATATCTTATTTTCTTTATTTGTTAAATGTACCTGTATTTGTCATTATTAAAATTTCAAAATAGACATTCATACTTAAACGTTATGAACTTTTATTATAATCCAGTTATATAATCTTGCATTAAACACATGGAGCTTAATGTTTTCTTTTTTTTACAAAAAAAGTATTTAGTAAACATTTTATCGTAGCTCACATTACCATAAAAAAAATGTGTTCAGCAAGAAAAATTGCTAGTATTTGAGATCTTTGAGTTCAATCAACCACTCTAAATTTGAGGAAACTAAATTATCAATCAAATTTATTCCACAGGTTCTCTTACAATATATAATCAAAGTTGTCTATAACAATTATAACAAAACTGAATTTATGATAGGCTTAGAACTCTCTAATACTCATGTTATAAATCCTAAAGATCCTTTGTATTTAGGGATATAAGAAAAATCAAAATACATTATTTGTATACTGCAAACCCTCTCTCTCTCCTTTTCTTTTACACTTTCCTTCATTTTCTTACCAGGCATAATTTATGAACAAAATGTGCTTCCTTTTTGTTATAAGAATAACCATTAGTAAAATGTCCTAAACATATTATTCTAAAATATTTTAATATTCTAAAATAACCATTAGTTCCTCTGAGCCAACATTTTTTTATTGTACATCTAAGAACATGTCATGAAAATATGCAATTTTCAGAACCAATTAATATAAATCCCTTTTCTATGATTGTATTTTTCCTTTACAATTGGTTTCTTTCAATCCAACTTCTATGGTGGGTTCTCTAAACAAATAAAAGAATATCTTAAAAATATTATGATTTTTTAATTTGTATTTCTTAATATGTTTATATTTTATTTGTACTTATAGTATGAGCATTATATATATATATATATATATATATATATATATATATATATATTTGTGTGTGTATCTTTACTACTCTTTATCTTTTTACTTTACAAACTAATTTTCAAACTCAATCTTTAAATAAAATAAAAAATCTATAATCAAAACTAATTGATTTAAGTAACCTATGTAATGTATTAGTAGAATAACTGGTTGCCCTGGAACTTGCCCAATAGCATGGTATTAATATTTATAGGAAAATGTTATCCTCATTCTTTATAATTAAGTTTAAAGAACTAAAATAATAAGATTTTTATACTTTAAAAAATATTATTATAATATTATTATAATAAATATTTTTTTGATAAAATTTTATTACTTTTAAATATTTAAACTTAGCCATAAAGTTAAGAAAGTTTATATTTATATAGTATTTGAAGATTTTTGTGTGTAATTTAATTAGTTTCAGACTCAAACTTATTTGATACGTAAAAAGTCCATCTATTGTATTAAGTTTTAGGAATATCCACTGGGATTAAGTTTACTTGTCATCCTTAAGATTTACCTAACTAATGTTAATATGTCTTAGCAACACATATTTTTAATATACTCTTACTTATAAGTTAAAATTTATTAAAAATTATAAAAATTATGTGTATTTCACCCTGTCGTTAGTTTTTGTAGTTGCATTTCAAATGGTGGGCTAAGGGATAATACTAAATGGTACCAAAAAGTTTTCACGAAAAAATTGGCGAAAGTGGTTTCTGATGATTTCTGTCAATTTTCTAATTTTTTAAATTATTTTTGCTTATCAGCTAACCAATAAAATACAACCATCTTGTATTAGTCTAAATTCTTACGAATTTTTTTGGTACCAACTAGCATTGCTCTTTTCGCCCCCTGCAACTTGATTATCGTTGAGGGTTGAGTCACCATTTCCTTGATGAATTTTCAACTAAATTGATGGAAAATAGTCACATTTTCAAATTTCTTGACTAATAGATCAAACATCAATATCAATTTTTACGTCTAAAAGTCAGAATCATTTTACAATTTAGTTAGTTGTGGTGTAAAAGTTTTGTAATATACCTAAGTAAATTAATAACAATAAAGGAGTTTGATAAAAATTATCAGAATAAAAATAATAACTAATCTTATTACACTAAATAAGGCCTACTGCATGAATTCCAGTAAAAACAAAATTTTAAAAGTACTATTCATTATTAAATTTTTAAATAATTTCTTCCAAAAAATGTCTGGATCTCCTGTATTCCTCTTCACCGGACTAAAGATATATCATTTACTCTCCTCACTTATACCTCTCCCCTCTTTTAATCCCCTATCAGTAAAATCAACATGAAAAATTATCTAAGGATAAGGGTAAAAAAAATCATCAGGACCTCTAATGTTGACATTTTATTCACTTAAATCTAACGCATCAATTGAGTATAAATCTGTAACACGTGTATCCCAGACTCTCCAATGATTTAGAAACGCTAATCACACTTTGAAAAAAAGTACATTCAAAAAATTAAAAAATATATATATAATACATGTTTCAAAATAAATGTAAACCATTAGTTTTATAAAAAAGAACGTGTAACAAGAATCATACATATATTGATTATCCATCATTATAATTGTTAGTGCATAAATACTAATTAGCAGCGGAAGATATGCACAATACGCGCTAAAATTCATCCATTAACTTGATAAAACATGATGTTATCATGTTGCCTCGCCTCTTTAAGTTTGAGAAGCGACACAAAACTACAAATAACGGTTTTCTCAAGTTTGGCCCTCAATGAGCTCTTATTGTAAGGAAATGTCAGCTCAAACCAGTAATTATACAAATATGAAATTTACGAAAACATCCTTCATTGCGATTATCAAAAACAATCTGAGAGAAATCAAGACAAATTCTCGGGTCATTTCCTGGTGAACATAATCTGCTAAAATCTCTGCAATCCCTGCATCAATGTGCCAGAACAAAAAGAAATTTGCCAACAGCAATGAGTAGGCATTCGGGTATATTAAAAGGAGAGGGACAGCTGCAGTAAATTTCAGGAGCTGCTCTCTCTTTGTCTTTGGGCTTTCATTCCTCACTCCACTGTTTCGTTCCTTCCTATAAATGCAAACCAATAGATAGGGAGAAATGGGAATTAAGCAAAATGCGTCTACAAAATACCAGTTTTGATTTTATTTTATTTTTCAAAAAAGGAAAGCTCATGGAAATCGTAAGTATCTAGTGTTTCTTTCATTGTCAAATGAAGAGATTCAAGAATTAAGACCAATCTAATGCCCTTTTTAGCCTTGCAAAAACTAAAGAAACAATTAGAAACCGATAAGCACAACAATTAGCGCACTGAAACTAACAGGCCATGGATATAAGAAAAACCACCAATAAAAGCATTGAAACAGGCTTATTATCATGCAAAGGGTGTAGCATTGGATATTTGTATCACACAGCTATCAGCTCAAATTCTGCCATAAGGCATACTATGCCTTGGCCTTGAATGAGAAGGTAAGGAAATACAACTCTTGGCAACATCAAGCTACATAATATTGTTCATAGTAGTACATAAAATCAAAGAATATCCTCCAATAATCAACAATATATAACCACAAGGATCAAGTGTAGCAGTGGCTCCACTAATCAATTCCTTGCCAATCCTCAACATACATAAGAAAAAAAAGGTGTAAATATGTTTTTAGTTCCGATATTTTTGTGAGATTTTGATTTTAGTTCCTAAAAATTTTTGCATTTGGTTTTAGTCCTTGATTTTTCAAAATTAAATACTTTAGTCCCTAGTGATGATCTGACACAATAAAAAGGTGACACATGATATAAAAAATCAACATGTGACTTCTTAGTTAACCACATGATAAAATGTAGAGATTAAAAACATATTTAACCTTAAAAATAGCACTCTAATAAAGAGTAAGAAATTTGAGGTTGTAGATCTTGATTCTGTTTAGTAATATTATTTTGGTAAATTTCCAGATATTTTCTATTTCCCAAAGTAAGCTTTTTCCTTCATTTTCTTTCTGTATCATATGGAAAATAAACTCCTACAGTATAAATTTTCAATTGATCCAAAACACAGTTGAACCCATAAAAAAGCCACCATACATCTTCCTGGTCACACTATACAACTTAGAACCAAATTGTAAAAGTATCACAATTGATAATTTCAGTTTCGAGCCTATGTAATAATAAAAGGAATCAACCATGACAGGTGGAGTTTCAAAGATTCAGTAGCCACTAGCCAGGTATAGTTAAGCGTAGAAATGTGCATTAGCATACAGAAAAATGCTAAACATTGGTAATTCCAACAGTGTCTGATTACATGGACAATGCTGAAAATCATTGCAATTCCCACAGAGATCAATGCAGAAGCATTTTCTGCATTTGCAGGTAAGTCTAGAGTTTTCTCCACTCTGAAAGATGGGCTAGATAAAGTGCAATTAACTAATGTTAATATGCCCAAGTAATTCAACAATAAAAATTTATTCAAACATTCTCTTTGCAGGCACTGAGTTGAGTGGGTTTTCTTCAGTGATGATGATGCTTTGATTCCTCTCATAAAGAGAGTGGATTCTATTTTAAATGAATTAAGGGCCCATAGTGATCAAAGTGATGACACTGCCAGAAACTCTGAGCAACAAAAAGTTCAGGAAGATTGTCATGATTTTGGTGGTATCTTAGTACAAGTTAAGAAGTTTTGTCAACAACGAAGTGTTAAGGCTAACAATATTTTTAAGTTTAGGCAGCCAATATCTCACACAGAACAAGAGTCTTCTAGGAGGTCATTCTATTAATGCTGGTACTGGAAAGGGAATTGTTTCAAGCCTGGATGTTGAACAGATGAAACCTTTTGACAAAAGTAACGGGCATCAGATTGGATGGTGAAGTCATTTCTATTAGTATGCAGTCCAAGTAATTTGCTGATCTACAATCACTTCCTGATCCAGTGGGGATAAAGTTAGCTAATCTGTTGGGTAAGGAAGTAAAGGACTAAAGGTGATCTTTTTGCCAAAATAACTCTACAATACAAGTGGATGAAGGTAGCAAGGGAAATTCAATGAATAGAAAAAACAGTAAATTATGGAGAGCATAATGGAAATGAAATCAATAGGCCTAATTAGGTTTTCTCAAGCTTTTAAGTTATCTTCTTTGAAGCCAAAGGAGTATTGTTGAGTTTAATTTTAGCTTTAGTTTATCCATTTTGCAGCAGGTGTTTTGTGGAGGGAGTTTCCCATGATAGTTTTGGCCTCTGGGGCTTTTCTGGGGGTTCCATTTTGTGTTTTTCTCCTTGGGTTATGTTTATATTGTAGTTTTCAACGATTGCTTGCTCTATTTTCCTAGACCTTTTGGTTTCTTTGGAGGATAACTAATCCACTTTTCCATTTCCCCTTCCTAATTAATAATATTTCTTTTTCAATAAAATAAAAGACAGTAATAATTAGATCTATGTCAAAATTTCAACATTCTAGCTACAAGATTGAAAAGCACTACAATTTCACCATGGGATGAGATTCGCAACAGTAAATAATGGAGTATAAACTGTAAAGGAATCGGAAGGCTTAATTTAATTAGCCTTTCCCAAGTTTTATCATCTTTGTTTAAGGGAAAGGGAGTATAGTTTTGAGTTTATTTTAGCATTATTTTATCCCTGTTGTTGCAGGTGTTATGTGGGGGAGTTTCCTAGGAGAGTTTTTGAGCAATTGCAACGGTTCCATTTTTATGGTTATCCATTGGGTCATGTTTTCACTGTGGCTCACTTCCAAGGAATTTTCACTTTTGGTTTCCTAGAGCTTTTTGGTTGCTAAGGAGGATACCTCATCCTCTTTCATATTTTCCCTTCTATCTAATTTCTACTTTCTATAAAATAAATGGCAGTAATGATTAGATGTACAATCAAATATTCAAAATTCTAGTTATACACAACACCAAAACAATGTCAAGAGACTCAATACAATAATCAAGCTCATCAATGCAATAGTGGATGATGCTCAGTGTGAGAGCGTTATCACTTTTACCATCAAATGCTTTAGTCATATTACATCAACTAACCTTTTGATGTCATCCCCTGTATTAGCAACTGTGGCATAACCAGCTACAGTGTGAGGCGGAACCTGAGTTATTGGTCATACAAATGAACTAGGGTTCAGAATTTAGCATTAGTACTATCGAATAAACAATTCACTCCCCTCAGCTTCCAATACTTAGTGCAGGTCATTAAAATAGAATATTACTTAATCATATCATACAAATACAATATGACCATGGAGGTGCTGAACATGCAATGAAAAATCACTAGTTAGTATTTGAATTGAACCAAATTCCTTTATCAAGCTGCTTTTATAGGAAAATCATTTTCCATGGTTCGGGTTATTTACATGCAATCCAAGTATGTGTTACAGAAATCCAACATTGTTGAGCCAGTATATATTTAAATAAACCACTAAAACAAATCCATCTGCCTAGGGTTATGAACCTATTTTTTAATCATGAAGAAAAACTTGTTAGTCTCCAAGTATTTATAACAATAAAAATATCAGAGAAAATTGAAGACTATAAAAGAAAGCTGTTATTTATCTTCATAATATACAACGTTACAACTTCTTCTATTCACTTCCTTCACCATCTTTCTCACAAATGACAAGTGAACCCAAAAAAATTTTCCAATTTGCTTAAGAAAAATTTCCCCTACCAGATGAGAAGAGGTGCAGTATAATATTGAGCACGTCATATTGTGGAGACTGAAGACCAGGAGTTGGCCCAATGTGTCATGATATATATTAGAGAAGATGTGAAAAATTCCCAAGATTTTCTCAATACAAAAAAGGCCTCTCCTTCACTTAAAACATCATGTCCATTGAAAGCCTTTAGAAATAATAGCTTCTCCTAATGACAAAAATTACATGTTGATATTCACTGTTCTACTTCTCTTTTCCTCATCTAAGGCAGTTGAATATATACACATGCACAAACAAAACAACATATCAAATCAGGCAGTAATTATAAATATATTCCGATCACCATGAATACCTGAAAGATACATAATATGCAACAGTAATAAAATTGAATGAAAAGTCAGTTGAAGTCAGTATTCACCCAGGTATGTCAGAAAAAACAAAACAAAAGAAAAAAATATCGGAATAAACCTGAAGAGTGGCTTTTACTGTTCCTTCATAAGGGCGATACAGTTTAAGAACCTAACGTGATTTAGATAACCAAACGAGAAGTTAGACAACAACCAGGTTTGAATTAATATTATTTCACAACCAAATTCTAAAGCATTTGGTAACTACCTCGTGAACGCGACCTGTAAGCAGAACATCCACATCCACCACAGTAGAAATGCAAAGCGAATTCGTCAGAAACTAAAAACATTTATAAAATCAAATCATCAAAGGAAAACACGACAATTTATAAAACCTGGGCTTTCAATGAGATTTCCAACTCTAACCTGCAACACAAGTAGGATCAATTATAATAACACCTAAAATTACGATCGAACCATCCAATCACAATGTAACAATGTTGAACTATAAAATTTTAGTAGCACAGACGAACAAACGGCGTCGTAGCAAGCAATCGTCAAAGAAGTGGTTACACTTACATCAGATCCAGAGAGTGTGATTCCGCGAGATTGAGTCGCGGACCATGGAACGGTGAGGAAGTTGGAGAGAGTGGAGAAAGGGCCGTTGGCGCCGCCGTTGGTGGGAGCGGAGATCGGAGGCGAGGGTGGCGGAGAGGGAGAAGAGGAGGTGGTGGAAGCGTAAGCGACGAGGTTGGATGAGATTCTGAAGAGAGGCTTGGAATTGGAGAGCCTCTTACTCAGCGTTAGCGACAGAGATTGCATTTTTTCTTTCGTTTCTCTGAGGAGTGAATCAAAGTAACTCCGGTGTATCGATATCGACCCTTCTTCCACAAGGATGACCAGAAAAGAGTTTTCAGATGCAAAATTGACGGGGAAAGTTTTATGACCTAGGACACTTGTTCATCGTTTTTTTTTTCTTATTAAAAAAAATATTCTTTTAGTACTTTTTTATGATTTTGTAATGAGAAAGTACACTCTAGGATGTTTACCTTGTCCCATTTTAATCTTTCAGTATTTTATTATTTATGAAATATAATAATTAATTCTTCAAATTTTGTAAATTATTTTAGCACATTAATGTCATTATTACTGCTGATTGTTATTCTCAATGTGTTTTATTATACTTTTACGAGGGACAGTTTGTATCGGCTCTAGGGATGAAAACAAGCCAGGTCGTCTGACAGGGGTATGTGGCCTGGCCTGATTTTAGCCTGACCTGACCTGCCTTTTTTAATAAACAAACCAGACTCAGATCTTTTTTAAGGTCAGTTTAAGCCTGACAGACCGACCTGTATAAATATATATATATATATATATATATATATATATATATATATATATATATTATATAATTTAAAAATAGAGCTATCAAAATATATTTAAATAATAAATTTATTTCATAATATATTTTTATATTCTTAATTATGTTATTATTAAATTAATATATTATATTAAAAATTAAAAATATTTATACATGATTACACTTTTTAAATAATAAATTTATTTAATAATAAATTATTATATTTAAACAATTTAAAAAATAGTTAAGTCTTTGAACAGGAATAAGACGTAATCAAAACTAAACGAAATAAAATTTAAAAATAAAATAATAAAATTATATTAATATATTTTTTATACTCTTAATTTTATTATTATTAATTTAATTATTATATTAATATATTATGTTATAATTCTTTTTATTTATAATAAATGGAGATTGCTTAAATCTGAATTATATTTTATTTGAAAGTAAAAATTTATAAAAAAAATAATAAAAAATAAAAGAAAAACTTATTATAATATATATATATATATATATATATAATCAGACCATGTAACAAATAATATAAATAATATAATTATAAATAAATTATATAATAATATATATTTTTATAATTTGCACATGTTTTAATTAAATTATTAGTCAATTTATCAATTTATATGTAATTTATAAGTATGTGATTTAATTTATTGTATTAGTAATATTTTCTATATTACATTAATATTATAGTGTAGTTAATTTTACATTTATTTGTTAATTTAAAATAACAAATTAATGAGACAAATAAAATTAAATATTTTATAATTATTTTTTAATTTAATAGTTATTATTGTTTTCATTTTATATATATAGTACATTAAGTTTAAATTTTTATATTAAGTTTTATCACATATTTTTTAATTAAGATAAAAATTTAGAAATATAAGTTATTTTAATTTAAATATAAATTTTAATAATTCTTCCTATGCTCATATGTTATTTTTCTTCATCTATGAATTTTATAAGTATTTATCATCTACAATTTTTATAATGACGATATTTATTTATTTTTTAAAATATAATATTTTTTTTAGCTGATTCAATAAATTTTATAAGTGTTATTTTTTGTAATTATTTTTTTAATTTAATAGTTATTATTATTGTCATTATATATATATATATATATATATATATATATATATATATTGCAGTAAGTTTAAATTTATTTTTTTAAAACATATAATTTTCTTTTAATTGATTCAACAAACTGTGTGAATGTTATTTTTTTTTATCAATTTTATGTATTTACTATAACTTTATTTGTTGAATATAATATGTCTTTAAATAAACAAAATATGTTTCTAAAATAAAACTAAAATATTTACTATTTATATAATTTTAAAAAAAAATAAAAAATATAAATATAAATTTTATTATATAAAATATTTATAAAAATATATAAATATTATTATAATTATTTAATAATTATTAAGAACATAGATAGAAATTAGAAAAATGTATAAACTAATTTAATAATAAAATATTTATATTTTTATTAATATTAAATTTTTAAAAAAAAACTTTGTTAACAGGCTTCAGGTCAGGTCAGGCCACTTAACCAGGCCAAGCCAAGCCTAAAATAAAACCTTTAACAGGTAATAGGTCAGGCTCAGGCCTAATAATTATGTTACAGGTCAGGCCTATTTAGAGTAAAGTCTGGCCTGACCTGGCCTGTTTTCATCTCTAATTGGCTCATACAAAATATAAAAAATTATTACTAACAGTAACACGAGTTGGTATAAAAGGTTAAGGATTTATAGAATAAAATCCATGGACGTTAATACTCTTAATGAAGTCATCTAAAATTTTGTTTGATGAACTTTTCTTTTTCTGGAAAGGGTAAGCATTAAAAAATTATTTGAATATTTAATTACCACTTTAAAAAATTATGAATTTTTTATGTAAAATAAAAAGAACTTGTTTACTAAAAAGTTCGCATACAATACTATTTTTAATACTTGATTAATCGAAGGATACTTTATATAGCACAGACACATAATATCAAAACGAGGAGCTGGTGTAATAATACAACACAATAGATTTAATGGGTGTTTGGAAATAAATTATTTCTTAAAATAATCTATTTTTCAAAGAATTTCTTAAAAAGTTAATAAAAATAAAATACAATTTTAAAAGTAAGTTAAACCAAAAGTATTTTTATTTTTTTTGATAAAAAAAATAAATACTAAAAAATAACAACTATTTTCTTAATAGATTTATTATGAATAAAAATCATTTAACACTAAATTTAATACTTAAACACTTATTTCATTTACTAAATTTTTTATATAATATAAGATTATAAGATTAACTAATTCAATCATTAAATTAGTTTATATTATCTTCTTAATTATATATATATAATTTTAGATATATTATCCAAAATTTGATATTTACTTATATTTTAAAAATATATCATTTGTTGAAATAAAATAGTGTGATAAAGTACTTAATAATTTTATTTTTGTATAAATTTTATAAGTTAATCTTCTTGATAAGAACCTCCAAACCAATGGTTGAATTTATTTATATTTATGAGTCAAAATTTATTTATATTAGATGTCAAATTTATACATTTACACATTTTAATAACTTTTCATAAAATGTAAGATGAATAATCTTAATTACTAGTTTAATATTAAAGTTAAATATTAAATATTACAATATTTTATTTAAAGACACACTTACTTGTAATTCCATCTTATTTCCTTCTCCTTCCTAAAGGAGTGTTCATGCAAGTTGATGTCACATTCATTGCATTAATTGTATGCAAAATAGTTTTTTCTTTTCTTAGAATGTATACAAAAAATGACATTTTATTTAAACAACATAGGGTAATTTTTTGCTAACAAATTGATTTTAATACATGATAAGTAACAATCTTAAAGACTAAAATGAAATAAAAATATGTATCATATTATTTACAATATCGTTTTTGCATATAACCAATCATATATATCACTTAACATGACATGTCAGCATTCTATTATTGTCTTTTGACAATGTTTAGGTTTAGGAATTAAAATGTCTGGTTGAAATAGAAGTCAAGAATTAACATGATATTTTTAAAATTTCAAGGTCTAAAATATTGTATGCTTATTACCTAGAAGATCAAAATAAGGGTTTAGTCTACTTTTTTCTTCTTGAAAATCTTAGTGTCACTTGTCAATTAATCCACTTAGAGCTGTCAAAATGGGTAGCCCAGCCCGGCCCGATACGGGTAGTGGGCTCAAACGGGTCAAGCTTAATTAGCCCAAGGTAAAAATGGGCTTATATTTTTATTACCCAAGCCTTACCCTATGCGAGCTACGGGCTTCTGCGGGCTGACCCGACAACTCAAATAATTTTTTTTCTTTTTCTTATTTTTGTAACATGTCATTTTTTTTACTGTTTTTATAACAACAAATCATTGTTTTTATTGCTAGTTTTAGTGTTTGTAACATACCATGTTAAGTTATTTTTGCAAGAACTTAATAGACCACTCATTTTTTAGGTCCAATTTTTGTATTATACTATTTATTTATTTATTTTTTAAGTTGTAAAAGGCCACTGGTTTCCATTTTTTATTGTTTTTGTAGCGGTGCAAAAGTTTATAATTTTAGACTTGTAATTTTAGGGTTTTGAAACTAAAATATATTCCCTTTCAAACTCCTTAAAACTCAGGGTTTAATCTTAATATATATATACGGGCTACCTGGATCCGCATGGACCAACCCGGTTAAAGCCCTATCGAGTATCGGGCTTATTTGGACCGGGCCAAAATGGCCCAAGATAATTTTGGGCTTTATTTTTTAGAGCTCAAACCTGCCCATTTAACAGGTTTTTTGGGCCCAATCCATCGGGCCATCCCATTTTGCCAGCTCTAAATCCACTATTGATCCTCAACTTTAGCATCTCATTTTCCAACTAATATTCTTAAACAATTATTATGACTTAATTATTTTATGAAGAAAACATGTTTTGTTTTCTCCCCATTTGAACCATTTATTGCGCTTGATTGAGCCTAGTAGAACTCTGCTTAGTAATAGTACTGTGGTACCTATAACATTAAATAATTTTATTCAGCATCTTGTGCATGTTTGACTTGCTTTATCTTGTAATTTTATTATATTTTGTACAACTTATGTGTTTAGCTAGCGTCTCTCATTTTCAATCAATATTAAATTGAGACATATAATTATTGTGGGATGTTTCTTCTTGCTGGTAATGAAGATATGGACCCTAAACTTTCTTACACACCATTCAATATCTAACTTCTACTTAGAAAGTGATTATTACTTGTACAACCTTGAATCATTCTCCCATTAGTTTATTTTTTATTTTTTATATCTTGATGACAATGTGACGTTATAATAATCTTATGTTTTAGAAGAAATTATTCTACTATAACTCAAGTGTTAAACATGTAATTTGACTATGTAGATTGTCATATTAAAATGATAGTACATTTCAAAGGCAACATATTAATTTAAATATAAGATAAGAGCCCTTATATCTTTCGGGTTATATAATAAAATTATGATTTGGACAATTTTTCTTGTGCAATATTTTTTATTGATAATTATTCCTATATTATTTTTCTTGGTATATTTTAGTTGTTTTTGTTAAGACATAGATGGTACTAGGAGTTGGAAGATTAATCAAGAACCTTG